TAATGTAATAGGTATCGTTTATATAATGTAATAGGTAGTGGTTATATTGTAAAGTTTCTATCCTTTTTATAAAAGTGTCCATACTTTTTTCACTGTGGAAAACATTAATTTAATATTAATTTTTGAGTGAGTTTTAAGATATTAATTTAGTAATTATAGGCGTCTAATGATTTATTTTTTACGTTACGGTATATATTATTATTAAATTAAAAATTCTAAATAATATTTTATAAATATAAAAACAATCAAATAATTTTTTCTGCAAATGAAATTATTAAATCAATATTGTAGGTGGAAAACATGAAACACTGTTAAAAAATTGAAACATAAATTACATAAGTTTTAAAAAAAGTATCGATCCTTTTTATAAAAAGTATGGACACTTTCAATATAATAGGTAAACATATGATGTAATAGGTAGCCCTTATATAATGAAATAGGTATCGTTTATATAATGTAATAGGTAGTGGTTATATTGTAAAGTGTCTATCCTTTTTATAAAAGTGTCCATACTTTTTTCAATGTGGAAAACATTAATTTAAGGTTATCTTTTGAGTGAGTTTTAAGATATTAATTTAGTAATTATAGGCGTCTAATGATTTATTTTTTACGTTGCGATATATATTATTATTAAATTAAAAATTCTAAATATTATTTTATAAAATATCAAAACAATCAAATAATTTTTTGTGCAAATGAAATTATTAAATTAAATAATTCAAATTGAAAATTAAACAACAAATCAATTAAACATTGTTGTGGGTACATTAATTGAACATTGTTATGGGTACATTATTTGGATTAATTTCGTTGAGATGGGTTATGTATAACAAAACAATCTATCTCGCATGTGAGTACTTTATTCCAACCATGTGACAAGTGTGACAACTCCATCAACTCACAACTCAGCTTTGAACTCAATCAATATTGTCTTTTAGCTTGATGGTTCATAAAGCATGTTACTTGAACAGTATGAATCAATTATGCAATTTTCATGTTCAATTTAACACTGCATTTCAAATTCATTTCATATGTAATTGGAGTTTGAATTTAAATTTCAATTTGAGTTTGAATTTCAATATATATTTCGGCTCCACTATAAATATTAGCCCAAGCCAATATGCATGTTATCATTGATTATTCCTAATTTCCATTGTTTTTTTTCCAACGTATAAACGCGAGGGAAATCCCGACCATTTTATTTTTTGGTCAACTTTAAAGCGTCAGAAACGTTTCGGGCGTATGATCTGGGTGGTATACAAGAAATGTAACAAATAGCAACTAAAATCATAAGTTGAGTACCACCCAAATCATAAGTCTGAAATACTTCCGATGCTCATCAAAATCCAAAGCTCATATGGTGCCAAGCAAAAGGAAATCCAAATCCAAATCTCATATGATGCCAAGCAAAAGGAAATCAAAATCTACAACTTGAGTTTGAACATTGATATGATATGTTCAGTTGTTATCATGTTGGGATTTCTCGTTTTGATTGCTTGGATAGTTGTTCTCTTGCTTCTTCAAGTGTTCTTAAGATATTAATTTTTGAGTGAGTTTTAAGATATTAATTTAGTAATTATAGGCGTCTAATGATTTATTTTTTCTGCAAATGAAATTATTAAATCAATATTGTAGGTGGAAAACATGAAACACTGTTAAAAAAATTGAAACATAAATTACATAAGTTTTAAAAAAAGTATCGATCCTTTTTATAAAAAGTATGGACACTTTCAATATAATAGGTAAACATATGATGTAATAGGTAGCCCTTATATAATGTAATAGGTATCGTTTATATAATGTAATAGGTAGTGGTTATATTGTAAAGTGTCTATCTTTTTTATAAAAGTGTCCATACTTTTTTCACTGTGGAAAACATTAATTTAAGGTTATCTTTTGAGTGAGTTTTAAGATATTAATTTAGTAATTATAGGCGTCTAATGATTTATTTTTTACGTTGCGATATATATTATTATTAAATTAAAAATTCTAAATATTATTTTATAAAATATCAAAACAATCAAATAATTTTTTGTGCAAATGAAATTATTAAATTAATATTGTAGGTGCATTCACATGAAACACTGTTAAAGTATCGATCCTTTTTATAAAAAGTATAGACACTTTCAATATAATATAATGTAATAGGTAAATTTGCAATGCTATCGGTATAAATATACCGGTTTACTTATAAAATAGGTAAATATAAACGCTATCTATTACATTATATAAGCGCTACCTAGTATGTTATTGTACTTTATAATATTTCCGGTTAAATAATATAACATAACCGGTCTAAATTTTAACCGGTCACTTGTTTAACCGGTCACGCCGTATATTAGCCGTTTTTTAAGCGCCGCACCTTTCCCCCTTCTCCGTTTAAAAATGTGTGCTACAAAATTATCCCTCGGGCTAAACTACACATTTAGTCCCTCAACTTGTAAAAGAAACAAAAATGAAAAATCATAAATAATTGACCCGCCAAGCAATCGGAGCCTCTAACTTTCGGCCACATCATATCCCATCCACGTGGCAAAATCCCCACCCACGTGAACTGTTTCTCAAAATTTCGTCTTATCCACTCTCTGAATGGGCCCCGCAATTCACGCGCGTCGCCGGTTGCCCGTTATATATTTTCCGGGAAAGTTGTTTATCCGGATGAACATACAGCTCCGCCATGTCCACCATCTCGATTGACAGAACTGGATTCCTGAATCTTTCTAGCCATGGTTCTGTACCCCGACACAAAATTCAAAGGCTTTCCCTTTCTCCCACCATGTGAGTTCTTCTTCTTTTTGGATTTGTGTCGTACTTTTTAGAGATTTAATGACTTTGTTTTTGGATAATTGATTAGGAAAATGGATTCTAAATCGTTCGAAAAGGTGAAAAAGGAAGAGGTCTCAATACAGCTACAAAAGTCGTCGGTTCCCCAGCTTGAAAATCCCAGACCCTCTAATCTCAGGTTCGACCGGCTGCAACCGTCGGATCATGAGCTGAATCAAGACCGCATATTAGAGTTCGGAAGATTCGTTGCAAGGGAGGCCATTCTTGATGAAGAATTCTGGGTATACCCATTTTTAATCTTTATTTCTTTTTTATCCCTTTTATTTGATCGAAAATGCCCTTTTGGTGCTGAGGAAAATATTTTTTTTTTATAGACAGCAGCATGGCTGAGAGCAGAAGCTCAGTGGGAGGATCGGCTAGGTGAAAGGCAAGGGTTAAAATGTTGAGCTTTTTCCCAATTTTTTTTCAAGTAAATGGGAATACACTTTGATCTTTTTGGAATCATCTAAAGAAACTAATCATAGAGAGATAATGATGAAGAGGAGTAGCCCTTTTATGCAAAGAAACAAAATGTTTGACCTATCTATGAAAACATGTAATTAATGTTAGTGAATTGTTTCAAAGTTTTGCTGCTGAAAATTTTGACCTAACAATGGATCTGATTCAATTCCCACTCCCCTTAGTGAATGCGGTGTTCTCAGAATCGATTCTTTTCTTATGTATGCATCGATAGTACTGATTTTAGCTATTCCTGATTATACAGATACGCCAATAACTTCAAAAGGCAATTCGCTGAGGAGGTAGGAGAGAATAGTGTTCTTCTCTTTGTTTCTCATAAATGCATATAGAATTTGGTTACATGTTTGCTTAGAAAGTTTCCTTTGTAGGAGTTCAATGCCATAAAAAGGCGATACAGTGGGCAACAAGGGCAGACATATACATGTGTTGTCACGGTATGATGTTCTTACTGGGCATCTTTTCCCAGATTCTTATTGCTTTTTATGTGTTTCTTCTCTCTTTTGTTAAGGTTTAATGTAGAGCTTCTCTGTTTCTCTTCAATACTGGGATACATACAGTTCCTATGTTATATTCTTAACAATTTCGTCAATGTCTGATTCTCAGGTTAGGAAGGAGGAGAGGAATGTCAAGCGTACGGTGCTGAAAAGTGTGGTTGGAACCCTTGATTTCAGCATCCGGCATTTGTTGCACGGAGAGTCTTTTCCCGGGGTACAGTGCACATTCTTTTTTACTCTGCTATTTTCTTTATCTGGTATAGGTAAAGAGGTTGTGTGTTAAGGTAATTGTGAATCTGACCTCTTGCAGGAACGTGAAAAGCATGTGTTCTGCAACATCAGCAGAACAAACCTGAATAAATATGTTTATGTTTCCAACTTATGTGTAGCAAAATCAGCTCGACGACAAAGCATTGCTAGCAATATGTTGTATTTTGTTATCGAATCAGCGAGATCGAAGGGTAAAGAACCTACAAATTTTTCCTTTAGAAGCACCTCATCTTATGCAATAAGTGAAGAAAATGCCCTTCTAAATTAGTCATTTGGTTACAGGTGTGGAACCGGTTTACGTGCATGTTCATAGAAACAATGAACCCGCTCGTGAACTGTATCAAAAGATCGGTTTCGAGGTAATTTCATTTAGTCTAGAATTTTACTCTCTGATTCATTCAGTTCTATTCAGTTTTCGCATGGGGCTGATTTATATATATATATATATATATATATATATATATATATATTGCATTGATCATCAGCTGGTTGAAATGGCGAACTCACTATTATTAAAGCAGCAGATGTACTTGCTTTGTTACAAGACATGAAATTTCTGTTGAAACATAAATCCATGATTTTTTTTTTCTATTTTTGAATGAAAAGAAAACAAACCCTTTACATAAAGCTTTGTAATCTTGTGAGGATTTGAATGATTTGAAGATGGGGAAATATTAGGTTTTAGTCCCCAAAAAATGTAATCCCCTGCCATTACTGCTCAGGGGAGTTTATGTTTCCAAATCAAAAATTGTAAATGCCTTTGGATTTCTTCCATTTCTATTCTTTGATGCTAAAAACACTGAAAATTTTTATTTTATCATATTTCTGACCGGACCGTTACGGCTCTGGTCGTTTGTTCGTATATTAAACCTTGTTCGTTTATCTGCAATTTACGCCTGGTTGTTGATATGATCTACGTGTTTTTTTCTCAAAACATGAATTTCATTCATGGAATTGTACGAAAACATCAATTTATTTGGTATTACAATTTAAGCTATGGGATCTCATCCCACGCTTACAAAGCCGTTAATGATTGAACTGGTTAGGTAGTTGGCAAAAAGAGCATCACAGGATGACACAAAATGTCCATGTTCTTTAGAAATCAAACTTCAGTACTTCACAAGTAAACTTTGGTATGGCTATGGCTGGTCATCGACACTCGAATCATATTGAAGATGACACAGAAGAGTAGTGCAAGCTTATATGTGTTCCAAAAGTGAAGACAACTTCAAACCAATGATTTCTACATTGGCATTAGAGTGACCATATAGAAAGACGTCTGTAATCTGCAAAGAAAACACCAAGACAACATAAAATTATTGATGTGGGACATATAGTTATGAAGGTCTGCGGATGACTCACGGTGCATTATATTGCAGTTCAGAAAAATGGGGACAAATAATTGGTCTTAAAAGTACCTGAGTGCATCCAAAAAGTTTAAGCACCCTCAGCGATAAACACCTATCTACGATCAAGCCCATAGCTTCGTCAGTCAGATTTCGGCACCACGATAGATCCAAACTAACCAAATTTCTTGAGCGTCTTGAGAGTGACAAGGCTGTATTATGACCGACCTAAGAAAAGTTGATCCATTTGAGGAAGGTAGAATGATACCACTAAATGAAAACAAGCAAAAAGCCAAAAGAAAAGGTTTTTACTCCCCTCCCTCCCCCTGCATAGGTGGGGAGTTATTGTGTGTGCATGATGCATGTGTGAGAAAGGTGGAGTACCTTCCCAACATTGTTCAGTGCCAGCTCTTTCAAAGCCTCCCCAGACATTTCAAGAAATGCAGCTATGGCATCATCACTATTGCATAAAAGGAGAAAAGAGTGAATTCTACATCTAATATATGAATTCCAATGCGCCCCATTGGAATAAAAACACCCAAATGTGTTGAGCTCAACTACCACACAATGTCAACTACAAGGAATCGACTAGCAAAACATAATAGAGAAGACCGTGCCATAAGCTTATATGCCATAGTAATCCCAGCCAGAAGTCATGGTAAATACCTGAAAGTGTTGCAGCGGAGTTTCAACGAATGATCGACAACCACTGGCCAAGTATTTGTCTTTCAGTTTGGGTACAATACCGATGTCAAGTACTCGTAAACATGAACAAGTTTCCGCAATGATTTTCAAGGAAGAATCAGTTAATTTCCTGAAAGAAAATACAGGCATCCAACTTACTAAATGAGCAAAAGAAACTCAAAACCAAGGAGCTCCAAAAGATTATAAATATACATTAAGTATTAAGTAAGCATACCTACAACCCGACAGAATCAGTTCCCTGATACCATCACCACTTGCAGCAATAAATTCCTTGATAAATTTATCCGTAACAGATTCCAATCCTTCTACTGAAAAGACTTCCAAATGCTCCAGCTTTTTCAATGATGGAAGCATCAGCATGGCATCAATACTTTGGCAATCGTTGATAAATAGTTCTAGTAGAACCGATGCCAAGGAGGAAGCTAAAATCTCGATAGCACCATGGGTAAGAAATGAACACTGGCTGAGGTTTACAGATCTTACTGCAGGCGCAGAAGAAACAAGAACACTTAACCCAGCATCTGAAAGGCGATATGCACCGCTCAATTACAATGTAGTTAATGCAGGCAAGCTGTTTAGTGATCGAGCTAAGGTAGAAGGTATAATATAATCCGCCAAGCACTGACCACAGTAATCAAGTTGGATAACCTGAATTGACATCACAACAAAGTTACAACCTTTACATTATCCATAAAGAACTATCAGGAAATGGATTAATAACAATAACTTTACACTACATATAGATGAATATGAACTTCCATCACAAAATACTAAGCTTTCCATCAATACCAGTTCAAATCATCTATGAAACATAGTCTATGATCCAAAACAATAAATAAACAGCCTACCGTCAAGTTAGAAGTGTCACACTTTTCAAAAGATACAGTAAAGTGATCCTCAGTTAACCATGAGCATTCCCTCAAGCGAATTTCATTAGCGGATCCGCTAAGGAGGAGATCCAGAATGTTACTATTCATTTGTCTCGAGTCACAGAGCATTTGAGAGAGCTTGTGTCTCATGGCATCTGGGACATGATCAAGGGAAGCGATTGCATCTGCATTATCGGCAAGAACCCTTAGGCTCAAATCGAGCAACGATGGAGGCAACCGCTTTAACCCGTCTTTTCCTTTACCCTTTTGAGGAACCCATTTGATTTGCACGGACGGTACCTGGTCCGTGGAAGAACTCCCCCGTTGAACGTTCAAATTTGCTGCTTTATCCCTAATAATCTTCATGGCAGTAGAGAAAGGACCAGGCCAATCTTCAACAACCTTTTCTTCAATCTGTTCTGCCGACGGAATTTCCCTTTCAGCTTCCATTGATAAATTGTTATCACCTTCTTCTTCCTCTTCACGGATGTTGAAATGCGCAAATCGAGAAGCATTTCGCCTAGCCGTATCTCGAAACCGCTCCATTATCCCCCCATTTGTTCTTCTATTGCTCCTTTTATTCGGGTTTTCATCTGGCGATTTCACTTCCTCCGCGGGAAGTTCAACGTCGGAAACTGAAACATCGACTAAATTCTCATCTTTAGATTCCAAATCAGTTTCAGCAACAAATTTCCCCTTTCCTTTCTCTTCGCTACTAAATATCCTTTTTCTGTTCCTTTCCGATTCCTCAATATTCTCACTCTCTGCTATGCTTTTACCTTTCTTGTCACTTTCAACCACTTCATCGCCGCCGCCGTTGACGTCGCAGTCTCCCAGTGGACTCCTCTCGGTAACCTTTTTCCCCGAACGCAAACTCAACACCCCGCTCTCAAAATCACCATCAACATCCACACTCAACTTCCGCTTCTTCGAAACGTCCCCGTATCGACTTCCGACACTTTTCTCCACCGAGGGAAGACCAAACTGATCATCGGCATTTGAGGAACCTTTCGAAGAAAGACGAAGACTCCACCGGAGTGAGGAGGGTGCGGAACAAGAGACGGAACCGGCGGTTTTAGGGGAGGGAATGAGCAAATGCGGAGATGAAAGACGAGTGGAGGGTTGTTCACGGCCTTGAGTGGGGGTTGCGGGTGGCTCGACGTTGTTCCGAGCTTTCCGGGGCTTAGGTGGCACCGCAGGGATTTCAAGGGATCTTAGGACCGGCATCGTGGCTGGTGATAATAATGGCGGGCAGTGAAACCAACCGAGAATGGAAATAGCGACGAAATCACCTGTTTTTAGCGCCAAGGCGTTGTAATAACTATCAATACAAAGGTGTCCCTACATGTGCAGGCCTCAATCTCAGGCGGCCCAAATGCAAAAGGAAATTTGGAATAATAATAAAAACTAAATTATAATAATTATTGATGACAATTATAAAAAATCAATTATAAATATATTTTTTAAAATTCAATATTTTCAATCCATAATGTTATAATTAAAATTATTAATCTTACATTAAGAGATTCAGCACATTATTCTACTATTTAACTGACAATTGATATTCAAAAGTTTATGAATAATTTAGAGATAAAATTGTAATATTAAAAAATATAAAATTTAATTAAGAATTATGATTTAAAATTTTACGATATAATTAACCCGTTAAAATACAAAACTCTTATAAAAAAAATATTTTAAAATTCATCACATGCAATGATTTAAAAGTTTGCTTTAAATGAGTGGGCAACGCTGTACTTTCCACCGAGTCAAATTCGGTGGCTGGGCCGCCGCTGACGGCCGGACAGTACGGTATTTACATATTTCACGTAATGCATCTTCTCATTCTTTTCCATTTTTCACGTAGTCGGAATGCCAAGATTATCACATGAACAAAGCAAAAGACACACTATAATCGTTAGACGTAATGTCTTCCCAACATCTTCTAACGAATACGATAAATCAAAAAATAAATTCGAGGAGACCCTATACCAACCAATAGTTATTTCCAGCGCCCTGTCTGAGCAATTTTGCCTAACTAGATGTATCCTTCATTTCGGGGTAAAATGAAAAAGATAGTCAAAACGAGCCATCTAATTTTCCATAAATAAACTACTAAAGGTAGACAAGAGTATAAATGTAGAGGCCAACGCCTACCATTGTACTGTCCTAACACGCTAACACACGCTCTTTAGAAATTTTCTCACTGATTTCACTTTCACAGCCCCAAAAAATCCCATCTCTTTCTCTTTGGTTTTCCATGCTTTGTCTTCATTAATGGAGGTTCAATAGAAAAACCTCGGCCTGATTGCTTTTTATTACTAAACTGAGACCAATAAATACGGAGTGTGCAGGGGCCAGGGAGTAGTAAAAGCTTGATATGGGTCACCACACGCACCATAACCACCACCACCACCGATGGCGTTTCACAGCGAGATTACAGCCCGCGTCTATCGGGCCCAATGACTCGCCGAACTCACTCGTTTAAGCGGATCAATAACAGCAACAGCGGGAGTAGTACCAACAATACTTTGAGCGTGCATCATGAGATTGATCTACCGTTAAACTCACCCAGATCGGAGGTTGGAGCCGTGGGATCGGTTTCGATCGATGGGTTGAGCCAAAGGAAAGGGTTGTTGAAGAAACGGAGTGTTGGATCCATGGTTTTGGATTTTGGGTTGAAAGAAAGGAAGAGACTTGGGCATTGGATGTTCTTCACTTTCTGTGGGTTTTGTTTGTTTTTGGGTGTTTTCAAGATTTGTGCTACTGGTTGGTTTAGATCTGCCATCGAAACTGCTACATCAGACCAGGTATTTTTTAATTTTATGTAGCTTCCTTTTGTCATAGCTGTTTATGATTATGAGTTTACCTGCACTTGTATTTAATGTTGATGGATCAATGTGACAAATGTTTATTATTTTTGGACTGTTAGGTTAGTTTAATTATCTTGCTCAGGCAAGAACCAAGCGACCTTACTGTGAAGTAAATGTTGCTTTTCTTTGAGGTTCTAAGTTGGTTGGAGCACCAGGAATGCCTGTGGTGTGAAAGTATTGTACTTACCCTAGATTAATGCCTATTGCAATCGAATACAATATAAAGTTTCTTCTAAATGTTGATATTTGGATAAAAACATGTATCTCAAACAAAGCATAAGATATGTTCCAATGCCTGATAATTAGCTGACCCTATTCCCATATGTTATGGGGTAAGGGAATTGCGGGAAATTGTTTATAGTTTTTCCTTGCTAATTTGCTATCTCTATCGTTGTAACTAGGGGTTATCTGATTCCTCCACCGATGGACTAGGGCTAATGGATCAAGGCTATCATGACTATCGGTACAGGAAAGGAGGTAGTGATTCGGATCGAACTCTAATGACTTTGGCATCGGAGATAAGTGATGTGAGTTTGAAATCGGTATGTCAAATTTACTGCTTTGCTTCTGTTTGTGTGCAGGCTGAACATGTCGATGAAAAAGTAACTTAAGAGTTGATTATTCTGATTATCGAAAAGAATGTTCATATTTTTTTCATTTCTAATCCAGCGTTCAAGTATTTGGTCTCAACCAAATAGTGAGAACTTCACGCAGTGCATCAACCAGTCAAGGAATAAAAAAAGTACGGGAGTCTTACATCTCTGTTAATTTTTTTTTCTTTATGTTTTATGTGTTTGTATGTTCACAGTCATCGATGTTTTTGTTTTTTGCCGACTTGCAATTAATTTCCATGTTTTTGCTTGTTCTAAGCATCTGAATGCTGCTTTGTTGGCAGAGCTGGATGCAAAGACAAATGGCTACATTCTCTTAAATGCCAATGGCGGTTTGAATCAGATGAGATTTGGGGTCTGTTTGTTGTGTGTTTCACACTGTTTTCTTATAGCCTAACCTTTTATTATTACCATTGTCTGATGTATAAATAATTTTAGAATGCAGATATGTGATATGGTTGCTGTTGCTAAGGTTATGAAAGCAACACTTGTCCTTCCCTTACTCGATCACACCTCGTACTGGGCTGATGAAAGGTTAGTTTCTTTGTGTACTGTGCTAATGTTTCATATCGTCTGTTTTGCACCAAAAAGTACATCAGTTCCTTATCTGATTCTTTTGAATGCTGAAAATGCTTAAGATAACTTGCATTTACATGAGGCTTTCTTCTTGCGCCCTTAAGTAACTTACATCTCGTGCTATTAACGTACGGCTAACTTATGGATTATGGCAATTCCTTACATTGACATTCTTGAAATCTATTATTGGGAGCCTGCACTCTAGTGGTACGCGTACCGTGTAGCTGGAATTGAACCTTTCAACAAGACACCTATATCTTGGTCTAAGGCTAGTATAAACATATATTTTTCATTTCCAAATGTCTATACTGAAACTGCAAAACACACTTATCTTTTCCGTATAACTTTTCAAGTGGCTTTGCTTTGGTCGAACCGTATCTTATGAGATACATGTATGTAATTTACTAGTTCCTTATGATATATTTGCAGCGGCTTTAAAGATCTGTTTGACTGGCGGCATTTCATTGAGACCCTAAAGGATGATGTCCGTATAGTTGAGACAATGCCCCCCGAGTATGCTGGAATTGAACCTTTCAACAAGACACCTATATCTTGGTCTAAGGCTAGTATAAACATATATTTTTCATTTCCAAATGTCTATACTGAAACTGCAAAACGCACTTATCTTTTCCGTATAACTTTTCAAGTGGCTTTGCTTTGGTCGAACCGTATCTTATGAGATACATGTATGTAATTTACTAGTTCCTTATGATATTAGAATAACTTACATTCTTTTGTTTAGGTTAGCTATTACAAGTCAGAAGTCCGACCATTGTTGAAGAAGCACAAAGTAATCTATTTTACTCACACTGATTCTCGACTTGCTAATAATGATATCCCAAGCTCCATACAAAGGCTAAGGTGCCAGGTAAATTATAGGGCACTGAAATATTCGGCTCCGATTGAAAAACTCGGAAAGACTTTGATTTCTAGAATGCGTGAGAACGGTGCCCCTTATCTTGCTCTCCATTTGAGGCAAGTAAAAGAAATTTATTTGTTTTGCATATCGATACAACTTCCCCTTTGCTTCATACTCTTTTGTGATTGGTTTCGCATGAGGTTTGTGTAGTCAAGGCTGATCTATGTTCTTGCTTCTTTTTTTACTTTGTAGATATGAAAAGGATATGCTTGCATTCACAGGCTGCAGTCATAGCTTGTCAGCCGAAGAAGATGATGAGCTACGTAGGATGCGTTATGAAGTTGGCCATTGGAAGGAGAAAGAGATTAACGGAACAGAAAGAAGATTGCTCGGTGGTTGTCCACTAACCCCTAGGGAGACTTCCCTCTTGCTCAGAGCATTGGGTTTTCCATCAAGCACTCGAATTTATTTGGTAGCTGGTGAAGCTTACGGAAATGGAAGTATGGAGCCTCTTAAGGAAGATTTTCCTAATATCTTCTCCCATTCCTCCCTATCTACAGACGAGGAGTTGAAACCTTTCAAGAATCACCAGAACATGTTGGCTGGTTTAGACTATATCGTTGCCCAAGAGAGTGATGTATTTGTTTATACGTATGATGGAAATATGGCAAAGGCAGTTCAAGGACACAGACGATTTGAGAACTTCAAGAAGACTATCAACCCTGACAGGTAATTCTCTACCATTGTTTTCTTGAACGAATACCTTATACCGTTCCCATTTCCGGATCAAAATATTTATGAAGAATCATCATTCTGTCGGTGCAGGATGAATTTTGTGAAACTTGAGGATGATTATGATGAAGGAAATATTTCTTGGAAGGAATTCAGTTCCGATGTGAAAAAGCTTCACGAAAATCGAGTCGGAGCTCCCTATCTTAGAGTGCCTGGGGAGTTTCCGAAACTGGAGGAGAGTTTCTATGCAAATCCGCTTCCAGGATGCATCTGTCAAAGAACAGGAGAAATATAGAAGGCTGAAACACAGCTTCTGCAATTTTATCTTGATGCCACGAAGTAAAAGGCTCGACCAAAAAGGATGACTCGATTCATTGGTTGCTAAATGCCTGGTCGAGACAGAAAATCCCTGAATTGCTTGTAAACTAACACGTTAACTCTTCACCATTCATCAATGGAGGTCTTAGATAAGCCACAGCAGATTCATACAATTCTCTTTTCAAGAGATGCAGATGAAAGATGCGTTCATCAGGTGGAGTATGATTATGATATCCTTTCCTATCCACCAAACTACACTGATTGAATTGTATTACATCTGGATATTAAAATACTAATAAGATTTATGATTCTAATTAGTGTTAAATTCTCCTGTTTGTAACTAAAACTATGATCTACAATGATAGTAATCATAAACGAAACCAATTAAATTTAATCTTTATTTCTGATTAATGAAATAAAACTACTGTAAGACGAAGTAGACAGATGAGATATTGAAGAAATCCATTGGTCTACAGCTGCAAAATAGAGTCCACAAGATCAGAGAGAGGTGCAAGTTCTCCTTTGTCAATCAACCGAAACTCCTGCATAAAATGACAATGTTTCAGATATGGAGGTCCCCCATGATCGATATCATAAGCACATTGGACTCTGGAAGAACAAGAACTTACCCAAGTGAACAGAGCAAAATGCTTGAAGCAAGTATTCAAATGAGCTTCTTCTTTCAGACTCACAATCTTCTGAAAATGTGTGTGGTAAATGTGTGCATACACTCTGAACAATCTCTTGAATATCGTCTTCACAACGTCTCGAAAATTCGCCGGAAATGGCGTCCCTGTATGACAAAAGCTTCTGTTTTTTAAGTTCATATCACGATTACATGGTAGTTTACTGAGTTACTAACCCAGTTTTTGTGGGAAAATTGCTTCATCATCCAGCTGAGCCTCAATCCAGTTCATCAGATACTCAACATATTTAGGAGCTGATACCTCTATAGGCTTCTTTATGGTAACCCCATCAGCCCACCGATACTCGTACCTGCCGACATTGCCGTCGGTGAGTGATTTAAGTCCAATCCTCAAGCAAACAATAAAATGTGATGTTATGTGCATAATACCTTGGTCCTGCTGACATGGTTGGACAGTTGTTTGCAGTGCAGAACTCAGTTAGTGTACCGTACAAGATGTTCACTTGATTGAAGAAATCAACAGCTGCTTGAGAGAAGCAAATGAAGAGGGAATCAACTCCAGATTATATGAATCTGTAGCAAATAAGATTTTGATTCGGATTCTTACTATTCACAGCAAGCCACTCGTTGATATCTTCACCAGGTGGTAGCCGGACAGCTTCTCTCAAGTTACCACTACCCAAGGTAGCATCGATGTGCCTTTGAAGCTGAACACCCTGCAAATGCGTTTTCATGGAAAATTACCGCAAATAAACTCCAAAAACAGAACAAGAAAAACAGCATTCAAATTCAAACCTTGCTTCCTGACGGAGCATTCTTCTTAGGCCTAAATGTCTTCTGGTTTCTGCATAATAAAAAAAACAAAAAAAGATCAACAGCCCTCATCGGTTTCAATTCATACAGCTAAGTTACCATATATGAAAATCATTCATCATCAAACAAAGATAATATGATAGTTAAAAGAAAGAAAACAGAGATCACTACCATAATTCAAAGAAAAAATACAGAATCAAGAAACTTGGAGAAAAAAAAAGAGATTTGGGTATTTGAAATTATACGAACCTGCTACCGATGCCGAACAGACTCATTGAAAATGATGAACTTTGACGTTTCCAGCTGTGGTAAAAGCTTAAAACCTCTGTGTTTATAGCAAAAACGGAGGAAACAGAGGACAAAGGAAACAAGAAATCCGAATATGATTTTATAAAATATAAAAAAAATGGAGAGAAACGAAAGGTTTTTAGTAATTAAAACGATATAAATACGTTAATATTTAATAGAATAAAGGAAGAATGAAGATAAAATGACAGACTGGCAAAGACAGCGAGACTCCGTCTCTTAAAGGTCAGTTAGGAACAGAACAGAACAGAGCATAGCCAGAAGCCAAAGCAGACAGGGTCCGCCCCCTGCTTAACTGGCTTATTTGACCCATTTTTCAAAGGGTAAAGAACGCAAATGGTATCCGATTATAGGATACTGTTTTATTGTGTCTCTTAACTATTAAAAGTTATAAAATGGTCCTTTGATTATGGAGTGTTGCTTTGCTAAATTCCTCAACTATTAAATGTTACAAAATGGTCACACAATTATTCATTATGTTTTAACTTCTAAACTCATCCTTTCCGTTTAAAAAATTGGTAGTTGTTTAAGATAAACATTAACACGATAATTGGGATACGATAGTCGTTTGATATTTTATGATCAAATTTTATCATATTACATTCAACAAATTAACGTTCAACTCAAAATATCGTTAATTTTTTTTACGAGAAAGGATGAGTTTTGAACATAATGAATAGTGAGGTGATCATTTTGTAACTTTTAATTGTCGAGGAACTTAATAAAATATTATCCTATACCCAGGGAATTATTTGCGTTATTTACCCTTTTTAGAAATAAATAAATTAATGATATGATTTATAATTATTAATTACAATTAAATTAAATTTTTAGCAAAAAATCAGACTGAGTTGGAAATTTTTGAAGAAATTAATAAGGATAAAGGGGAGGGTGGGGTCTTCTTAGCTGTAAGGATTTGCTGGATTTTGGATTTGCATATTAATTTCGTAATTAAATTGGATTTGGTCCAACAATTTGTTGTGTATTATGTATTTTATTTGTTATAATTTATAATCATGTCGAAAATATTATATATTTCAATGTTTCATGTCCGAAATATAATTTATTCATGAATGCCAAGTATAAGATGTCCGAAAAATACGGCCGCAACCGCAATTTCGAACATGAGACATCCGCTGCACATCAATGGCGAGATTGTACCACCAGGAAGGAGTAGTCGGTGTATCCGACGACAGGATCCTGAGTATAAAACGTCTTCCTGATGTACCTATTCAACTGGGCATTAACCTTCAACCTCGTAACCAGGTCCGGATTCGAGATAAAAAGTCGGCCGTACGATACCATATCGGCATCGCCCTCGGCCACCGCTTGCATCCCGAGCTCCCTTGTGAATCCGCCGCTGCACATAAAAGTTCCATCCTAACTCCTCTTCAGGGTTCTCATTAAATAAGCTTACTCGTCTTCGCTGCCGTGCTTGCCTTGTTCGGTTTGCCCGTATGCATTGTATCGAGGCCGAGTCACGTGAAGGTAAGCGAGTTTCGACCCCGACTGTAGCTGAAACTCATTGAGTTTCCCGATTACTGCCGAGCCTAGTTCGAGCGGATTAGAGTCGATGGCGTCTAGATGATCGATTGCAGGTGAAATTCGGATAGCTACTCGCTCAGATCGATTCAGCTACAGCTCGAACGATTTGCAGTAAGAACCTACACCGATTCTACAATGATCCACGTACTCATCTGTTCGATCATTGATCCCATCTTTTTAGATATCCAAGTGCTCCATGGATCTCGATCCCATAAAAACCTGTAAGTTAGACTCATACTAAGCAAATCAATCATTAAAACAATCATTGTGCCAATGGAACATGAAGAGTAATAGTTAATCTAACCGGCTCGAATCGCATTCAAGGCGGCCTTGCGGTAGTGATCGACGACCACTTCTATTTCCGAGATGTCTAGAGTTCGAGGTTTCGGATAAATGCCGTAGCTTGCATCAGGCATAAGAATTCTCCACCTATTCGAGATCGGCTTGTTTGTTGATGAAATCGGTGCCGCCCCACCAGGTTGATACACTACGGTGATCGACGGCATCAAGGATTACGGTGATTTAACCGCAAAAGGGTACAAGGGATACAATGAAGTTACTTGAATGTGATCCACGGCCAACGTGCCACAGTTGACATAAAATGCTGCTTCCTTTTGCATGAACAGCATCCACAATCTTCTTCCATGCTTCCACCTGTTCTTCATTGTAGATCTCAGGAACATGTGGGAACCTGCTTCGACATTATTGCAACATTAGACGATGTTTCAAAGAACTTTAGGACAGTGGGAAAACTGATATGTTTGGTCCATAATTTGAAGCGGGTTAGGTCCAAAACTGAGTGATGGAGAAGACAAGTGGACCCTCAAAACCACTAACAATTTCCGGGATAATGCGAGTGATTCCTGTGAGATATATATATATATATATATATCAGTTTTCATTATCAGTTTAAATTACGAAATTACACTGCGGCAGTGTCGGAGACCGACGTGCCTTCGGTGATGAGAAAGCCGCCAGGGGTCGATCTCTGCGTGTAGTATTCGGCAAGCGCCGTCCTCGGAATTCCATTCAACGCCCTGCATCTCGTCATAGGTGCCAGCACCACCCTGCCATCATCACACACAAGCCAAAAGTTACAGAATTAGCCTTCCGGTACCTATCTCTTCTTTGCAGAATCCGATGAGATATTATCGGAAGACAAGGATGATATCTAATGCATAAACGAAAAACAGATACGGGCAAAGACAACAGCAAACCTGTGAGAAAGATTGAACTTGCCCATCTTATAAGGAGAAAAGAGCGTTGGCGTCGCTTGAGATCGAGTTTCCGCCATTGTTACTGGATCAGATGATGAAAGAACCTAGTGAGAAAAACCCAGAGTTGTTTTTACATGAAGTTTTTGGTTGAAAATTCTACCCTGTGATGAGTAGTGCGGGGCTCTGATTGGGGAGCATAATAGAGATGGAGATGGACGGAGTAGGAGTCGGTGGCGGTTACTTTTGCATGGGTTTCACGTGCTGGTTTAAACAGCTGACAAAAATATGTTCCCACCGGCGGACGGCGGTTTCCCGTCGAATGTTCCCAGTTCACGACGTTGCCGATTGGTTATTTTTGAAAAATATACTTATTGTTTTAAAAGAATAAATTTATATATATATATATATTGTATGAACCAACTTATCTCACTAATTAAAAAAAACGTAATTGTTTTTAAAGATTACGGGTTTGAACATAAGCAATTACAACAGAGTGATTGAACATTCATTGTCAAATAATTGAGAGAATTTAAAACAGTTCCTACCTTATAATCACTCTAACTTAATAAAAAAAACTCATGTATATACACACACATTAGAATAATGTAATGTATTTTATAATTAACTATATTTTATTAATTTTAATTAAAATATTAAAATTATAAGGGTAAAGTATATAACTGGTCTCCTGATTATAGGGTATTATTTTATTAAGTCTATCGACTATTAAAAATTATAAAATGGTCATCCGATTATAGATTGTTGCTTTGTTGAGTCTCTCGACTTTTTAAAGTTTTAAAATGATCACTCGATTATTCATTATGTTCCAAACCCGTCCTTTTCTGTCAAAAAATTAACGATATTCTTAGCTAAATGTTAACTCGACGACTGTGATGTGATAAAATCTGATACTAAAATCTCAAACAGTTATCACATCACAATCAAATACTAACGTCCAACTTAGACAACTGTCAATTTTAATGAAAATGACAAGTTTAGAACATAATGAATAGTTAGATGACCATTTTGTAATTTTTAAAAGTCAAGGGACTCGATAAAATAACACTCTATAGATAGAATACTATTTTATAATTTTTAATAATTGAATGACTTAATAAAATGATACCATGTAATCAGTGGACCATTTGTGTACTTTGCCCAAATTATAAATAATTGATAAGGCTAAGTTTCTCGTACATAAATCTCAAAAGGTAAGTGGACACATAATAGGTAATACATAAGACCTTCCAATTATAAATGCTAGCTCGGTCAACTTTCATCCTAAAACTTAGGTAAATTAAGAATCTAAGACAAATCATCCCTCAATTTTTTCTTACTCTTATTTTTGTAACTTTACTTTAAAATCTCTCAATTTTATCATTAAATGTTCAAACTTTTCTGTTTTAGGGACTAATCCAATTTAAATATTTAAAAAATAAAGTTAGATAATTTTAATATTTTTTATTTAGATTTTTTTTGAAACATCGATAACATATAGTTTAAACATAATTATTTAAATTTAGATCTTTTAAGAAAAATAATATTTCTTTTTATCTATTAAAGTTATTACACTGATTTCCTCGATATTAAATGAACTGAAGTTTATATAAAAGAAATAAATTCTATAATAATGATAACTTAGTAAAATATATCTTTAAATAATTTTATATTATTCCTCTAATAACAAGATTTTGTATTTCGATTAAATTAATTTAGGAAATAATATGCAACTCTAGCTTGGTCTACTTAGTTGTTTGAACTTGTTATTTTAGTGTAATTGATTTTCATAGCCTAACTAGGTCAAGTCACCATATTCAAACATATCATCTTCTTTTCTTCCCCCACTTAAAATATGATGTAGCACTTGACCAAATATAATTAAGGGTAAAACTACATATTTAGTATCTAAACTATAAGTTTTTGCTCTGTTTTAATGCTTAAACTTTCAATTTTTTTAAAAAAAAATCATACATAGCGTTTAGTTTTCATTTCATTTTTAGTACCTATCGTTAAAAACTTAAAGCGTTTAGTACCTAAACTATCAATTTTGGTCCATTTAATACTTAAACTTTCAATTTTTTAAAAACTTAACATTAAGTTTTGAATGAGTACTAAAATGAAATAAAAAAAACTAAAGTTTTAGCGGCGGGATACTAAAACGAATAAAAACTAAACTTTATGTATGATTTTGAAAAATTAAAAATTTAGGTACTAGAATTGACTAAAACTGATCCAACAAAAATTTTGAGGATGAGAACTGTACAATTCAAAAGTCATCAAAATGATCCAAACGATTTTTAAAAATCACCAAAATGATCCAAACTATTTTTAAAAATCACCAAAATGA